TTGGTGACATCACTCAGCAACTTGGTGACATAACTGAGCAGCTTGGAGACATCACTGAGCAGCTCGGTGACATCACTGAGAATCTTTTTGTATACTCACTGTATATCTAAATCTATATCATCTTCATCTTGTAACGCTGCATCCAACGCTGCCTGAACTTTGGGTGCTACAGCTGGTCCCTCGTAATCACGTGTTGTACGGTTAGGCATGTCCAACTCAACTATCAGTATGTTCTCACCCTGCATAACACAAAGCCAGTAAAAATTAAATTTGGACAACATGAATGAACATTATGACAAAGTAGAACCACTTTTAAAGAAATTTGTAGTAGTAAATGATCAAACCATGGGTAATATGTCGGGTTATACGGCTTTATATGTTAATAGCATGCAAATGGTAGAAAAGAATTGTTTGAATTACAAATTCACCTTCAGTTGTATGTATGTAGTTTACCATGTACTAAGACAGCATGTGGGCATAGGGTAAATTTTTTGCAAAAAGGTGTGTACACATCCCAAGTTGAAGGTCATTTTAAAGTACCCGGGGTACTGCAATTTAATGAACAGAATAATTACCTTGTATCTATAATGACCTCCCATGGCAGCAGCCATCCTGGCATATTCTGCAATTGGTCGTCTATTGCCACATGCAGACACAGGTCTTTTAGCCATTTGTTGAGGACTATGAAGACACAAAGTTGATGTTATAGATTATAGACTGCAAAGTATTCTTATTTTGTTGTGCTGATTTCTACATTCTCATATTTCATACTTACCATGTATCTCAAATTTCATATGTGAAGAAACAATATATTAATTGACTTTCTGTAATACATGTATTTTGATGCATAAATTCGATCCACTATAAAGTCAGAATAAAAGTAATTTTATATTTTGAGGTGTGTTTCTAAGACATTGCGATTTTTAACAATCATATTTTTAGGTTCAACTGTCAAGTCTTGTAACAGAATATTTACAGTTAATCAGCTGTGAAATGAACAAACTATACTGACTCACCCCTCTGTTCTAGCCAGTGGAGTCAACTTCCACGTATCTTCCTCCTCTTCATACGCACATCTATTCATAATCTTCGTCTTCTCTTCCAGCGGTATGAAGTTGTCAATGATAAGCATCCTGCAAAGAAACCATTAGATGGAGTTGTGAGAAGTGTGAGGAAGCAGTCAATGTGAAAATTATTCAATAGGACATTCAAAATAAAAAATAAATCATTTTCGGTGAAACACATAAATGAATGAAATCATTGATCATAGAAACACATGGGATCGAATATGCATGTTTCTACGTTGAAAAGCCAAAGTTGTCACACAGAAGGTTTTTGAATTTTTGTATAATTGGTAAATAAACAATGTATCAGACACTTTTTCCTGGACAATACACTCATCACTATTTAATGTATTCTCCTTTGCCATGCCAGGTTATGCTCAACCCTTATCTGGTCAAGTGAATGTAAAAATACACAGGGCAGGCAGAATAAGGGTCAGACATGCATCATCAAAACTCCATTGCAATGTGAACCTTAATAGTAATCCCATCTTCCAGTAAATAACCTAAACAAATTATCTTTTAATTTTATCAATTCGAGAAAATAGTGAGTTTACATATATCCCAGAAATAATGCCCTCAAATAGACCAATATATTGTATTTTACACAATACATACTTTAGTTTCAATTCCCTGGTTAGTTCATTTTGTGTCTGTTCGAGTTCCTGACGTTCTCTGATATGTTCTTCTTGTTGGTCTTGTATCTCTTGCTTCACGGCTTGAAGTTTAGCAAACAGCTGAAAAAATTAATCACATTACAGTGAAAATGAGAATAAATACAGGAAATCTTATTGCTAGTTTTCTTTCATTCAGGGGATGTGAATGCATATTGACAATGTAGACATATTACCAAAACTTGGGCACTTGGGAGTGAAATTTTTCTTTTTTGCTTTTTATTATCCAAACAGTTTTTGCTATAGACTGTTAAAATTTTGTAGAATTGTGAAAAGTGGGACATACTCAATAAACGATTTTAAAATATAGATAACAGGTGCAAACATTATCTCTTTTGAATGCTTAGCAAGATTTAGCAAGGCTGTACATAAATAATAAAAAAGAAACGATGGGATCTCCATATTATGCACTATATTTAACTTTTAACAAACTTCTTACTGAGTGAGTGAATTGTTATGCAAATTAGTAATTATCTCAGCTTCTTTTTAGTGCACATCCCAGAAAAATAGCTCCTAGACGCTTTGACCTTTTGTTTTGAAATTTTCACAAATGATTGACAATGTGTTTATCATCAAAACGCCGTCGGGGCATTGTTTTTGGTTGAACAGTGTTACAACAATCGTACAGACAACTAGCCTGGGTGTTAATTTATGCATAAACTTGAAGTAGTGAAATTTGAAACTGTTACAGCCATTTTAATTATGAGCATTAGCAAACTTCTTACTGAGTGAATTGTTATGCAAATTAGCGATTATCTCAGCTTCTTTTTAGTGCACATCTCGGAACTTAAAAAAAAAGCTTCTATACGCTTTGACCTTTTGTTTTGAAATTTTCACAAATGATTGACAATGTGTTTATCTTCAAAACGCCGTCGGGGCATTGTTTTTGGTTGAACAATGTTACAACAATCGTACAGACAACTAGCCTTGGGTGTTAATTTATGCATAAACTTGAAGTAGTGAAATTTGAGCTGCTGCCCTGCAAAATTGACAACTGGTAGACAGTTTTCAAGACGGCACTTTCTTCATAGTAAACAGATGTACCCATAAACCAATTTTGACAGGAAACAGAAGCATGGTTTAGAAGCTAATTTTTTTTAAATCACTTTTGACCAAAAAAGCACATTTTTTGCATATTTCAAACTACAGTGTCCATAAAAAAAAAATACTAACAAAATTTTAAAATTCATACAACAAGCTTTTCTAAAATATATAATTTTCTGGACAAGGGAGGTCATCTTGGTTTCTTAATTAACTAATTAAAATACCTGTCAGGGAAACTGCATCTCTACCTTAATAGTGAATTCAGAACAATATGACGATGACAGTAAGTATATCCGTCGTCACAGAAAGAGACAGAGACTGATTTATTTTTCAATCCTTTGATTGCTATTTACCTTTCTCGAAATAAAACTATACGATTTTTTCCATATTATTCAAACATTTTGCTCTAGATATGTAGGTAATAGAAAATTATAGAAAAAATACACAGTGAAATTTTCTTAATACCTTTTTGAGTTTCTTTGTCTTGATTTCAA